AGCAGCAGTTTCGATGAGGATTTCAGTAATATCATTTATACATGTCCTATGATGTTAGATTATTGTACATTGACTTTGTGAAACTGGATATTTCACGAGTAGGTGAATAACTATTAAACGCAGGTGTTTGAGGTTCAATACCCTCCACTATACATCCACTTCAACATAAAACACACGTGTTTACCATGCTGCCCATTGTTACCTTGGCAACTGTGCTGCTTTTTCAAGAGTTCTTGCTTTGGAAATCCCACTGTACCCATTACAGGGCTTTTTTCCCCACCTGTACTACTTAATATGATGCCTCACTATCACATTAAAAAGAGACAAAGATTCTGACAGCAGAATCTTTGTCTGAGTACAGTGAGAATTAGCTTTTCTGAAGTATGTGAGTAACATGGACATTTTTGATGAATCACCGTGTAGAGGGCAAGCACCACCTCAAACTCAGTGATGCGGGTTTTCATTTTCATCACCTCACTTTAGACCAGGGCTCAGAACCTGAATAAAAATCAAAAGGGTCATTTCAGACAGAACAATTATTTAAACATTTCCATTCACTACCAACAAAAAAGGTTAATTCCATTAATTTTATACAGGCTGTATGTAGACCTAATATAATCAAATTGTAGGTTTGGAAAGGCATCTAACCTGTTGTTTTGTACTGATAAGGACATGTCCACACACAGACAGGCTTTGGAGTTTCACTGTTTGAGAATCAGTAAATTGCTGTAACAGATATAAAAAAAGCTGTTCTTTGAGGAGCTACTTAAAGTTTCTTAGTCTGTTGTGTATAACAGCATCCCAAAATCAAAATCAAAAGCTAGGCCTCAGGTTAACGTACATTTAGTGCCTATCTCAATTTCAGAAGGTCATGTGATAACTGACCTGCTGAAACAAGTTTTGCAACTTTAAAATTATAAATAAAAACTACTGTTTGTTACTGTTGTTTCACCATTTGAAAACAGCAGATGCTCTACATATAAATCCTCATTGTGTGAACATTACATGATGAATGGGCAATACCTGGAATAAAATATTTTTATATTAACATAGATTAAAGTTGAGAACATATGTTCTTTCACTTGTAAAGTTACCATTTCAGAGATCTAAGGTTTTATTAGAACAGTGATTATAGGCTATATTGGTCATGATAGGGTAACATGTCATCTATAAAGAACCTTTCTTTAAAAAGAACACTTAACAAAAGCACCTTAAACATCAAATATTACCCACAGACAATCATACCATACCTGAGAACTCAAATCATAACTTATCAAGAATAAAGATGATGAAATAAAAACCACAGTTTGCACCCAAGCCAGAGCACATTGCTTAATCATTCTGAAAATACTGGTAGCAATCTGTGCAGGCCTGCTTCTTGAGGAGATACACTATAACCCTAAATGACGTTTAGTTTGGGGCTCTAAATTTCAATTTACCTTCAGGCTTTAGAGACATTAAGGCACTAATGTAAATCCTGGTCAGCGCCTGCTCCCTGGAGCAGACCCCAGCTTTATTAGCATCTCTCTGCCCTCTATATAAAGGCAAAACAGTCACTCATTACAAGTCATTAGATTCACATTACGTGTATTTGGAATAGTCATACATCTTATAACAATAACTGGTGTGAAGCCTCAATAATGTAGTGAAGACAGAAAAATACTCTGAGCAAAATGGTTTGTAATTGGAACATGGTGCAGAGGCCGGAATATGCTCATATGGAGCACTAATGTGCTTCTTTTGGATAATAACTTATATAATCAGTAAGAAAATATGCAGACTGGAATAATCTTGCTTTTAAAGTGCATTTCGAGACTGAACAATGTACAGTTTTACGGGCAATGCCTTAGGGTGAGAATGTGATAAATCCATGTGCATTACAGGCAATATTAGCCAAACAGTTCCAGCAAATGTTTTAGTGCAGGGAAGCAACATTTGTGTGAATGGATTTGATGCAAGGAGACCCTTGAAACATTCAGCATCCTTACTTTGTAGCTAGCCAATACTGGAAAAAAACTGCATTATAAATGCTCCAAGCTCTCCAAAATTACCTTACCGTTGACTGGCCGATTGCCTTATTTAAGCAAATGCAGTTTACTTTATGACATGAAAAAGTACAGTCAAATGTGTCTAAAATACATGACTCATGCATATTTTTGAGGTTGTATGCATGAGCATGTGACAGAGAGTGATCGAGCGAAAGAGAGAGAGAGAGATGGAGAGAAACAGAGAGAGAGAGAAGGCTATGGGGTAGAGAGTGCATACTGAGCTGTCAAGACGGTTGTACCAGACCTCATCTGTCAACTCTAGATGGCCGTGGTGAAAATAACAGCCTGCCTGCTTGCAATCCATATTGAGTATGTATTACTGATGGACATAGCACATTAACAGACTCATTATCTATTTCAGACCATATGGACCTGGGCTGGGGTGGGTCACTGGAATGCCACCCTGAGCTGTTCTCCCTAATTATGACAATTATGCCATCTCCATCACAAGGGGCATTTATGGAAAATGGTGGCATGGCCCCTCAAGATTGGTGTCATTGCTCTCTGGACTACCGGAGAGTCAGAGAGATGTGCCCTATAACCCATACAAAGCCCAAATGTGTTCATTTTTCAGGTATTCCATGCATATGCAATAGGGGTGCGGGAAAAACTCGATTCTTAGATGCATCGCGATGCGGAACGATTCTGAATCGATTCATTCAACGTCAAAAATCGATTTTCTAAATATTTAATTTATAACGTAATGTTGACAGAACGCAAAAGGCTGAACTGGAAGTGGGAAAGTGCAGCGCCCGGACAGTCTGTGGCGGCACATAACAAAAACATTACTGGAGGAGCGAGAAATCCGACCGGCTCCCTCTGCATTAAAAGTCAGGTTAGGTCAGGAGTCACAACACAAATGATAAGAAGAGCCATTTTGCCTTTCAACGAAGTCAAACCACCTTGGGAGCCACAACATTTAATGCCCAGTATGTCTCAGTATGGGATAATGTCCTAGTATGGCCTAAAAATATAAACGAGAGCGCAGATTTACTTCGCTCTGCAACGAGACCAAAAGGGTGGCTGTAACGTACTGCGTGGACACCCATTGCCACTGGATCTTATTTCAGGGCAAGAGCGCATTTTAGCGCAGATGAGTGGCAGCAGCGTCTCTGAATGAGAGCCTTCTAGTTCACTTGCCACATCACTTCCATTTGATTTATTAATAAAAGATATTTTAGATAATTAAAGCAAAGTATGTGTAATGATCCGTAATGCATTTACATTATGGATCATTACAAGTACTTTGCTTTAAAACTACCAAGTCCTCAGACAGTAGGAAGATAGAAATCCTGTATAGAGAAAAAAGATGCATCGAGATGCATCGATAATTGTTTTATAATCGCATCGCAGCCCTCTGAATCGGAATCGAATCGAATCGTGAGGTGCCTAAAGATTCCCACCCTAATATGCAACTAGCACCAGAGGTTTACCCTATTTGCCCTAGTATAGTAGAAACATAACTTGTTGTAAATGTTTTTAAGCCTGTATTACAGAATATTTTTATTATAACCATGGTACTCCTGAATCGCAAACCTCACAGATCATCTGGAGGAGTTTCATCATTTTTCAAGTTCTTCTAAATTTGCTAAAATGGTTTAGGTAATCAAGTCCGGATATAGTGTTGCTCTGGTACACGACATGCATGGAAATCTTTTCTAAGAATAAGGTTGTGGTACATACACTGGTCAGCCATAATATTATAACCACCTCCTTGTTTCTACACTCACTGTCCAATTTATGAGCTCCGCTTACCATATAGGTGCACTTTGTAGTTCTACAGTTACAGACTGTAGTCCATATGTGTCTGCATACTTTGTTAGTCCCCTTTTACCCTGTTCTTTAATAGTCAGGACCCTGACAGGACCACCACAGAGCAGGTATTATTTGCTTGGTGGATCATTTTCAGCACTGCAGTGACCCTGACGCAGCGGTGTTGTGTTAATGTGTGTTGTACTGGTACGAGTGGATCAGAGTTGGGAGTTAAAAACTGGAGTTTTTAAACACCTCAGTGTTACTGCTGGACTGAGAATAGTCCACCAACCAAAAACATCCAGCCAACAGCATCCTGTGACCACTGATGAAGGACTAGAGGATGACCAACTGGCCAGCAACAGATGAACTACTGTCTCTGACATTACATTCACAAGGTGGACCAACAAGGTAGGTGTGTCTAATAGAGTGGACAGTGAGTGGACACAGTGTTTAAAAACTCCAGCAGCACTGCTGTGTCTGATCCACTCGTACCAGTACAACACACACTAACACACTGGTCCAGATCATTGAAGAACCGGGTAAAGGGGGTAGCCAAGTATGCAGAGAAACAGATGGACTACAGTCTGTAACTGTAGAACTACAAAGTGCACCTATATGATAAGTGGAGCTGATAAAACGGACACTGAGTGCAAAAACAAGGAGGCGGTTTTAATGTAATGGCTGATCAGTGTATACACTTCAAATTTCCCCGCTAAGATTTATTTCAGGACAGGGGGAAAACCGCCTATAAGTGCGTGCAGTCCATCATACATTTTTGATTTTCATGACCTCACACATATGTTTTGGGGTCTGGTCATTCTCTCCTTATATTTCGCCCAATGAAAATGTCTGACATGCACAAACCTCATCGACTGCAAGAGTTTCGCTTCCACTGAACAGACACGACGCTCATGAAAATTCCGACATAATTTCCTGTAAAAATACGCGGAAAGTTCAAGATAAATCTGGCGCTTCCGTGAAAACGAAAGTCAACACTTCAGGACGAGCTTCGTACAGCGAAATCTAAACTGCTTATCTAATTGGTTTAAATCAATGTGATTGACATCCATTCAGCCTATGGTGTTTCCAGTGTTACAGTTAACGGCCGCCTCTAGACTGCGATGATTGGCAGTTGAGAAGAAACGACCGCCTCTCCTCGCTCGCAGTTGGTTGTAGTTTATTTACAAATCGCTCAGCGGGAGTGCCTAACTTTGTTCAAGTTCAACATCCACGGGTATTTTTAGCTGCTTGACACACGGAGAAACTGATGATTTTTAGGACCTCATCTACTCCCTTACATATGAGGAGCTGCTTGGGAAACTTGATGTTCTCATACACTCGCAAGTTCAGGTTGTCTAACACTGATGGTTAATTCAGAGGAGTTTAGCATTCTGCTAGAACTGCATATCGTTAGCAAACTTAGCTGGCTATCCTGGCTAGCTGTAGTTAGCTGCCCCCTAACAAATGTTGTTTCGGTTTTGCTCTTGACTTGTCGGTTAGCTTTGATCTGTATGTCGCGTGAGGGACTTAACAAATATATATTGTAGACATTCCAGCGTGTAATACTGCCCAGCAGAGCTAACCTAACCTAGCTAGCTTAGTTGTTTCATTAAGTATTACTTAGCTAAGTGCGATGGCTCCTAGGAAAAAGCCGCTGCCTTCTCCGCTGCCCAACGACTGGATTTTGAGAGATACAGAAAAGAGGAAGTGGCGCCTTGGCAAAATCATTGGTGAAGGCGGATTCGGAGTGATTTATTTGGGTAATGTCTCTAACTTTAATATTAACGAGGTTTTGTATTTTGTTTTTTGTTTCTGAATTTTGAACGTGTCTCCACATGAATCACGAGAAATCAAGGGGATGGGACTGGTGCAAGGCTACTGAATTTCCCCTTTAGCCCTTTAGGTAACTGGTAGCCCAGCCCATACTATACTAGGCTTCCAGGGGCCAGATTCACCAAAGTATCTCGAGGAAAATAATCTTCTCAAATGTGTGTTTTTTTCTTAACTTCATTCTTAAGAAAAAAAGATATGAAAAACTGTTATTCAAATAGCTTCTTAAGGATTCACTCATTTTTTTCGTAACTTTTTTTTCTTAAGAACACTTCTGTCCTTATGATAGTCTCACACTTACCTTAGTCTGTAAGAGTTGAAGAGGTAAACATCTAAATCTTTCAAACACAGACACTGTCTCCGCTACTCCTGCCCATCCTCATCTCTTGCTTTCCGCCATCACACCACAATTATTGTATTTTCTAAGAAGAATTTTTTTCCCTTTGGCTATTTCTTCCACCGTCACCTCTAGTTTTTCATTGTGCTGTCCTCTGAGTGGATTAAATTAAGTTAAATAATGGAAATAATAGTTAATACAAATTTAAAATGTATCTCGCATCGTTCATGGTAAGCTGTAAAATGCAACAAAGCCTTCAGAACAATGAAGATTTGCTTAAGAATATCTTAAGGAAATAAAGATTTTCTTAAGAGAATATTTGATAAGTTTATTTTTTTTTGAGAATTGCATTTAAGAAAATTCTTATGAACTTCTCAGTGTCTGTCTTAAGAACCTTCATAAGGTTTTTTATTTATTTATTTATTTATTTTCTCCTTAGAAAGCTTTGATGAATCTGGCCCCTGATTCTTTGTGGTGCAGGTTCTGGAGAAACATTGCACAGTCTTCATAATTTCCTAGTTTGATGCCAGCGACACGTTAACCCTGAAGCTGCTGCTAGGTTCCTCATTCTCTCTTTATCCCTGTGCCACAGCTTCAGATTGTGTGGATGCACCTGTACCAGAAGATACTAATTATGTGATTAAAGTTGTAAGTATTAAGCCTTGTGGTCTTTCCTGAGAAATTGTACTAACAAGCCATATGGCATTAGGATCTGCTGTAGTTACATTCTAAGAGTCATTTGGTAAACATTAGCAACCAGTGACCCACAACTGTATCTTTCTACTTCATCCCTCACTCACACACACTGCTGTCTTTGATTCTTCTTTTTTCTACTCTTTTCCCCAAAATGTGTCATGTACCCTGTGCTAGCCTAAACATGTTTTTCACAGCGGCTGAGATTCTACTGCACCCTGTGTCTCTATCTGGATCACTGACTTTTTCTTTGAATTTACAGTATGTTACTTTAATTAATTTGCTAATAATAATGTCTTTATCTTCAGGAATTTCGTGAAAATGGACCTCTTTTCTCAGAGCTAAAGTTTTATCAAAGAGCAGCAAAACTGGATAATAGTAAGTAACCGTACATCTGTGATTCTGTTGAGCATTGGGTTACACTGTCATTCCACTGTCATCTTTTAAATAACTTAAGACAGTTGTATTATAGAGAGTCCCATGCAAAGCCATATATTCTTCCTGTAGTGAAGTGAAGGAAGGAAGAAATCCCCACTTGGGAGTGGTGTTAAATGAAAGTGCTGCAGACCACTTATCTTCATCTGAGAGTTCTCACACTTGGAGTACATGTCACTGATGAAGAGGCTGTGGATGTAAATTAGCCTGGCTGGATGAATTAATAAGCCAAAGCAAACATGCACCTCTGTGGTCGTTAGTGCAATCCCAGCTTGTTTTAGCTCTAATTCAGAAAGAGTGACCAAATTGCAGATAAAGATGCTGCTTTCTCCAAAGGGCCCCTGGCCACCTGTCAATCTGGTACACCGCCAGTCAGGACAGATTTCCCTCCTGGCTACATAGGTGTTTGTGTGTGTGTGAGGCTGTCTCAGTGAAACAGAATTATTTCACACTATATCAAATCTGTTCATACTTATTGATCTTTCATCTCAATATTTTAGTCAAAAAATGGAAGAGAAACAAAAGGCTTGATTTTTTGGGTATTCCAACCTACTGGGGCTCCGGACTCACTGAATATAATGGAACAAGGTATGATTCAGTTTATTTCATTACACTTTGATAATGTCAGTGCCGCTTGCCTGTAACTACTCATATTTGCTTTTTAAACTTTTACTGTGTCTGGGAATAGCTACAGGTTCATGGTAATGGACCGGCTGGGTACTGACCTGCAGAAGGTGATTGTGAAAAATGGTGGACAACTGAGGAAGCAGACAGTGTTGCAGTTGGGTTGCCTCATGGTGAGTCATCTTCAGTATAAGGATTCATCGGGGCTGGATGCAAGAGAATAGAAATGTTACATGCACATCCAGAGCTTAGTTTGTATTTAGTATGCCCTGTTTAGGCATCACTTGGCCACTGTGGTTTGAAAGTATGGTTTCTTCATTATTTCTACTTATTAGAAGTGGCTTTGTTTTTGTTGTATCATTGCCTCTCTTATTGCTCAGTTTTTGTTGACATGCAAAATTCCTCATTCCTCTTTGAGCTACTACAGCACTAGCAAAATGTGAAATCACTATAATCAGCATGAACTTAGCACCTACACACAGTCACAAAATCTCTCTAAAATCTCTCTAAAAGTACATTATTATTCTATTACTCTATTAAACTTCCGGCCATTTGAGCTTGATACTATTAACATTTTCATTAGAACATAAAATCTTGAAGATAACCTTTTGAATAGCCCTTGAGTCCACCCTAAACACTGTTAGCATACCTGCATTCTGTCAGCAGTCATTATGGAGGGTCGTTATGAGCTGGTTAAATTATTCATCTGTTAACCTTAGCCTCTGTCACTTTGCCCTCAACAGCTGGACGTGCTGGAATATATTCATGACAACGAATACGTCCACGCTGACATTAAGGCTGCCAATCTCTTACTGGGCCACAGAGACCCAGGCAAGGTTAGTTCATTCTTGTTTATATTAGCTTGTCCAGAAATCAACATGGATCGCATAAAAGTGATAGTCCTACATATGACACACTTTTAGCACCACAGTACCAAGCACCATATGTTTATTTTTGTGATTTATGTATTGCTTGTAGTTCCAAAGTATATATTTGACCTAGGATGTAATAGGATGTTCAAGCGTCAAACATTTCTTAACATTTTTTGCACTTCTTTGTCAAAAGTCACCAATTTCCAGGTTATGCTAAGTGTCAATATGTAACTTACCATGTAGAAGACGTGCTTCAGAAGAGCTTGGCTTGTGAGATGACCTATCATTATTTTATACTCCTACAGGTATACTTGGCTGACTACGGCCTGTCGTACAGGTACTGCCCTAACGGAGAGCATAAAGAGTACAAAGAGAACCCAAAGAAAGGACACAATGGCACTATTGAGTATACAAGCATTGATGCACACAAAGGCGTAGGTAAAACTGAATTCATGCTTTCATTCATTCATGCAGAGGCTGCATTGAGAGCGCCGGATGTGAATTACTGAAAATTATCTGTAAATGTCTTTAACTGCTTCAAATAACTTGGCTTTTCCGAAAGAGGATGTCCATTAAAAGAAGACTAAGATTTGTGTTCTTTTCTTCTGCTTTAATACTTATATGAATTTGTGATGTTTGCAGTTCTCCCTATAGCAAGGCCAGTGTGTATAGATTCCACCTAGCATATCATGCTCTTAACTCTAGGTCAAGATATTGGAAACACATTAACTTGTAAATTGCATACAGTCTTTTTATTGGATATTGATCGCTTTGTCCATGTCTACCTGGCCAGACTTAATTCAACAATTCCCTAAATAGTTGAAGTCATAACCTGCATCTTGTATGCATTAACCATTAATTAAAGCTTTGATGTTTTGTTAGACTGGGACTCAAAGCCAATATCTCTGTCTGCAAAATAGTGCAGGCATTACAGAGGTTCAATATTAAATCTATGCCAGGCTAAATCTTGCTAATAGCCATGCTTCTGTTGCTGTCAGTTTTCTCAGTATATGAACAGCAAAGTAGGATGCTTAGTCAGCAATAAATGAATGTCAATTTTAATATATCTAATGGATGGAGACATGATGATGAGTTAAAACGACATATAGTATTTAGAGTATATATACTGAATAGTTTTCATTCTTTAAAACATTTACATCTCAGTTCCTGGATGATGTAAAATGTAGTATATATACATTGTCATGGAGGTGGTATAAACTGGAACATGGCTTACATGAAATAATGGGTACAAAGTGTTTTGGTTCAGAAACAAGACATTCTTGATCCCTTGTAGTTATGGTGCTGACTCAAAATACATGACGTCTGATAAGTATTAAAGTAAATCACATTGGGGTTCAGTCAAAGGTCTGTCCTCATGTTCTTACTGCTGTTTGTTAGCTTACTCATGTGCAGGGTTTTACATATGGTCCTCATTCCATCTCCCTGCTCCTTAGATGTATAGGCAGCCATGGTGCATAAATCTTACTGCAAGAGGCTGTGTGTTACAGTCCTGGGTCATGATAACGCAAGAGCATGTATTAAGTAATGAGAGCGGGAGAAGAATGCCTACGCACTGACACAAGTTCACTTGCTAACCTCATCTCAAAGTCATATAGGAGTGACAAATCTTGTTTTGCCACTGTCGTGGCTATCTGCGAGCAGAGCCGGTGCCACAATAGTGGACGTCTACTCGTCTGGGCTGTGGAAGCTGACAGCTGTTGTGTAGGTCGTTAGCATCGAGTCGCCCCCGTAGATGAATGCAGATTGTGGAGTGTTCCTTTCCTTGTGGCCCCTGGCACCCCGTGTAGATGTTGATGTGTTACCATGGTGAGGAGCGCGGAGACAGGCACTCTGCTTCCCGCTGAACTTTGTGCTAAAGGCCTAATTATCACCTGTAGGGTTGAAGAGAAATGGCTGAAATTCAGAAGGAGAGGTTCAAGAGTTTGACACAGCACTTTAGGTAATTTGAATAACAATGGGCCATAATTATGAACAACAGCCTCGCATTGATGGAAGGTGTTGTGTCTGGCCTGGAATGCGCCATTCTCGTGAATCCTCATTTTAAAACCGAATCGGTGTCAGACCTGCCCAGCCAGCCCCCTTCCCCTCTCACGAAGGCATATGAAGTGCTAATAGCGTAAGTGCTGTATTTTATGCACTTAAGGCCAATATCTTGGCGCGAAGGCCCACGTGGTTCAGAAAAGAAGACCCACTATATTTGTTACTAATAATGTTTCTTGTCCAAGGTCATCGCTTTGTATCAAGACTTTTGAGGTAAAACTAATTTTGTGTTTGTTAAATTACAGTGTTATAAGGGAGAGAACTATAAATGTGTGGCCTGTTGGGCCTGGCTGTGAGATTGGCTAACGGGCAGGAGCACCTAATGGGCATGGCGAGATCAATGGCAGCCATGGATTTAGGCTGAGATTTTCCCCTTTGATGAATGCAGTCAATAGGTAATTTCTCAGGAGATGGACTGCAGTTACAGTATTGAGTTGATAAACTCTCCAGGCACGAACAGACGATGTGCTTTAATTTACCCTTATTGATGAAATCAGGCTAGAGTTTTTCATGAAAGGACCTGCTTAATGTGTTGTTAACTCAGATTTGACCAAGACAGGTGAAATAGTCAAGTTTTGCAGTAAGAATAAAGAACAATAATTTACAAATGTTGGATATCTTGGATAATTCTAGGTGTGTGCAGTTTGCAAGCGTTTGAATACCCCTGGTCAAATTACATGTTTTGTTGATTTTCTAAATAAAAGAAGTTAATACATCCGCTACAGGTAACAAATGTAAATATTAACATATGGGGGGATAAAATGTGCCATAACTTTTGCACAGGCCCCATTTATGTTTTATTTTTTTTCTTCAAATTTTAAATTCAGCAAATAAACAGTAATTATGTATTAAAATGTGCACATAAAGTACTTTCAAATATTGTTTAAACCAAAATATTTGTTTTTGCCATTAGAAATCGTACAGGTTAAACTAAGTTTGAAGACCATGTAACATGGCTGCCTGCATGGTAACAGTTTAGTTTTGCTTAGGGCATTGAAGGTCACCGCGCTATTGTTTCCACTGAAGCTGTGAATGGATTCTCTTATGGCAGTGAAAATGTGTGATCTGTTTCTGGGAAACCATGGTCTTTGGTCTTTTGATGATCTTTTGGGTTTAAACAGTAGACTCAACTTCACTAGTCATCATCTCATCTCGTCTCATTTCTTTTTCCTTCTTCTCTTCTCAAAGACGAGAGGAATTGCATTGATCCTGCAAGTAACTTAGCATGGTCAAGTGAATAAAACACACTCGGGCTAAAGGCAGTTGCTGATCGCCTGATCTGGGAGATTAAATAAAAGAGAAGCTGCTGAAAGATGAAGAGGCAGCGTCTTCCCCACTTCCTCTCTTTTGGGACTGGAAGTGGGAGAGAAATGGCTGGTAAAATGCTTTTTTTGTGCATGTGTGTGAAGAAGTGTGTTTACACTAGATGGCAGTTGTGTAATGTGCTGCAGCTGAAGTTGGGGTCCTGTGCGCGTACACACACACATACACGCTGATCTCTGGGTCTCCTCTTAAGGCCAGCACAGACCCCACGGAATCCAGTAACATGTGGGAACAATTTGGCCTCAGACATTTATTTCTTTGTTTTACTGCCTGGCTCTCTGGCGGAGAAAGTGTCGGGCCGGGCCATGGGCTGTCTGGATCATGTCAGAGGCCGTGAGTATCGGGTTCCTGGGACGAACCACCAGGCCAGACGAATCGGAGAGGGGGGTGGGGGTGTGTGAGGGGGAGAGAGAGGCGTTAGAGGTGTGTGTGGGGTAGGTGGGCGGAGGGGGAGGAAACTGACCCCCTCTTTAAAATGGCAGCCTCTCTCAGAAGGGCCCTGTTTGTCTATGAGACAGGCCAGAGCACCAGCTGAAAAAACAAAACACTCCTCTCCATCAGTATTCCCCTCTCTGTCTTTTTCATAAGGGCATATTTCAGTGGCCAATGGACAGGTCATTTAATCAAAAGATTCTTTTTTTACTCTCTTCCTTGCCAGGTATTCATCTCTCTCTTATTCTTCTTATTCCACCAACTCCCCCTCTTCTGTTTTATTTATCTCCTTACCCTCTCTCTCCTTGCTCCTCCCCACTCTATCCCCCTGCAGCCCCGTCCAGACGAGGGGACCTGGAGGTGCTAGGCTACTGCCTGCTCCATTGGCAGTGCGGAACTCTGCCCTGGCTCTCAGTGCTCAGGAATCCAGTGCAGGTCCAGGAGGCCAAGGCCAAGTACGCAACCTTTCCCTTCCCCCTCCTCCAGCCCACCATAGGCCCAGAAACAGCACTCCACTGTGTGTAATGGCTGCTGATCAGAGGCTTACAGCTGTCTGTGGTTATTCAGCCCAAAGTATTCCCTGAACTGCTTCGCTAAAGTATCAAAGGTGTAGTTGGCAAACGATGCGGAGGACTTTATTGCCTGGAAAATGGCAGTGCCTTTTGAGACATAACTTCTGAGAGACACATTGTATTTGAGCAAATAGAGCAAAAAGATAGAGGGTTGAATTTCCACTTCTAGGCTAGACTTATTCTGCAATAGAGAAGTCTTAGTGACAGTGCAGTTTAGTCTGAGCTAGAAGTTAGGGAAAAAGGACTGATCAGCATTGTCCCATGTGGTCTTATAGCTTGAGTTTGACACTTTTATCAAAAGTTCTGCAGAGAAAAGAGCAAAACTTTTATAAGCTAAATTATTGGCCAACCTCTCACTCTTCTCTGTTGACCTTAGGCTAATTGCTGACCTGCCGGACTCAGTCATCCAAATGTCTACCTCTGGCTTCACTACAGGTAAGAGAGAGTGAACAAGTGTGTGTGTGTGCGTATGCAGACCACTTACTATGATCAACAAGGGGTGGCTGAGAGACTGAGCCGTCGTGTCTCTCTTCCATCAGCAGACCATAGCAGCCCTGCATTATCTTTACCCCTCGCACAGAGCGAGAGGGCACGCATGTCTCCTGAAAAGAGGCTTTGTGATCTATGATTATGATGAGGTCCTATTCCCCCCAGCCTTGAGAGGCTGGCTGCAGCTGGACCAGAGAGATAAGGCTTCCAACATGCATCAATGCCGTGCATGTGATATACATTCAGTTAGACTGCCACAAAGATGCTGCATATTGGCCTAGTGCTGCAGGCAGCTTATTTATTACAGTAAAGAATGGAAAGCGGCCATATTAGATGCACATTTGTGTGCTTGTTTGAATAGTGAGGCTCATTCGCTGTTATGTTCTTGTCAGGGTCTGTGTGTTGGTACGGTGCTCACTGTATTCTACTGATGCACAGGTGACGCTTGACTCCAGCTTTGTTGTGTTAGGGAGCAAGGGTTTATACTGTGTCTTCAGCAAGCTCCGTTTTACTGCATGGTGATCTGCATTATGTCATATGCTGTCAATCATGTAAATTTGCATAGGATATTCACAAACAGTCTTGGTCTATTAGCTAAACATATACAGTTGCTTTTACTACATTTGTGCTTATTGCTGAGTAAAAGATTCAGAGAAGTAAGCGGAAGCTTGAAATTCATAACATCCTCTCCAGCTTCCTTGTTTCCTCTTTTGAATGCTTCCTCAACAGAGGTAGCCAGTTTTCTGCTTGGTGTGAAAGCCCTTGGATACAGTGAGAAGCCAGACTACCAGGCCCTGAGGAAGGTCCTGTTAGGGGCTGGGCCTTGGGGCCCCCTGGACCTCTCCAGGCCGAGAACAGTGGAGACAGCCTGGCCAGCCATGAACAGGGTGAGTGTGAAATGCTTTGGCCTGCAAGTGCTCCTGCCTTAATAGGGACCATATGAGCAAGGGCTGGAGCATGTAGAGCAGTCTGTGGGCTGCGGCAGATTTATCTGTCTGGGAGAAGGCAGGAGAGATGCTCAGGTTTGAGAACCCTCCACTGACCTCTTCCCATGCATGCTAACTCCCACTCCTGCACTGAGCAGCAGAGAATCCAGCAGGCAGCGCAGGCCTGCTAGCTGCCACGGAGGTATAGTGGAATGGAGATTTACAGAGTGGTGACAGTCTCAGAGCTGTCTAAAGCCTCCAGGCTGGAGCTACAGCTCAAGGCAGCGTCAAGAACGTAAGAGAGCTATTTAATTAAAGCCCCCTTATTTATAGTAATCATATACATGTTGGAGATTGTATTTCAACAGATGTATGTGCATTGCACATTGAACGGCTCAAAACATATCCAAATTGCTATACTCTACCCAACTCTTTGAAATACAGAATTATGGTGGGAAGAAGCGAGGATGGTGCTTTTTTTTTTTTCCCCTCTGTACGGGTAAATGAGGCGGTGAATCTTGACCGAGTGTCATAGGTTAACCTCTGCTGACCCTGCCGAAGGGCTCATTGCCTGTCAAGAGGTCTGGAGTGGAGGCCTTCATTCTGTATGAATCACTTTACCACCGATCACAGCTAACTTGAACCACTGAACTCTATGAAAGCACAAGCAGACCAATTTGAAGCTATTGAATACACACATTTTACTGAGGCCAAGAGATCACCAGTTAGAATTACAGTGGATTTTTTTCTTTGCCTCTCATTTCCATGTGGAACTGTCCAGTAGTTTGATCCATGGTTAAAAAGAGGGGTATCAGTGTTAAAGTTTCAGAAGGATTAGTGAAAAGGTAAAGAATTTAGAAAATTATTGGCTCGTTGTGTCCCGATATCACAGCCACTTATAGCACAGGTCTTGCCACTTGATTTTTGGACTGACATTTGTATTATCAAGTGCTTTGAATATGAAAAATGCATGATACAAATAATGATTTCAATAACAGGTCAATTTTCCATGTTATATGAGCATGTTATTTAAAACCATGATAAGTATGGTAGGCTTGGAGAGGGTGGGAATGAGCGAAAGACTGGTACTGTTAAAGCAATTGTAACTCTTCAGCAGAACGCTGAATTTCAGATCCAGTCCTGATGCCCACATTTTTGTCCTTCATTTGGAAATTAAATTCTTTCTGCAATTGAAAGATTTCAGATAAATTCTTAAAAGCACTATATTGTACACATACACTACACACGGAGAATCCTCACAGAGGTATGTAGGGAGCCAGTGAATGAGGTTCTGTCTCTTTCTGACCTTGGCCAAACCTCATGCACAGATGGAAAAGATCAGTGTCAACACTACGGGCATTAAGATTTGAATCCCTCCTTTTCTTTGTAGTAATATTTTCTCAGTGGTTTCTGTTCATCTCCTTCTGGAGGGTCAAGCTCCAGTTCCTTTGAATAAAATTTAAAACAACACCATCAATGTCACCCTCGTGTCTCAGCTCTCCTGCAACAGCGTCAGGCCGAGAGAGGTATGCAGCTTCTAACGCCACTCCAACGCTCATGGAGTTTATTTTGCCTACACCTGACCTCAGCAGTGATCTGTGGCCAAATTTAGTTTGGAGTGTTGCCACCTCAGGGAGAGAACTGAGTATCATTAATCAGGAGAGGTCCTCTACTCTCAGGATCCAGGTCAGGGTGAGAGCACAGAGGAGAGAGCTTACACACAAGAGCAAGGGCTCTTGCTCATGTGGTGTTATCAGGGTTGCCGTTTACACCCAGTTCTCTGAAGTTGCTTAGCTTCACCTGGAATACTCTAAATCATGTTTTCATTGCCATTTTCCCTAAAAGAACTCAAGTTCAGAGAAATCAAGCAAACTAAAGCCAGCGACTGAGGATGAAGATGGAAACTGGGCTACGGCGAAGTCCATACCGCCCAAAGTTCGCTACAGAATCCAAGGGGAGTCAAAGACCATTGAGCAGGTGATGGATAAAATAAAGTTTATTCATTTACTTCTGAAGATGTAATGACTGGTGATATGCACCACACTCATTGTAATTCTTACCTTTTTTATTTCTACCACAGGAACCATGGAAAGCTATATCTAAAGCTGAGGAACCTGCCAAATCTAGGCCTGTGGCCAATGATGAAGATGACCTTTGGCATCATGAAGTCCACAGCAAAATACAAGAAGGCACAAAGAAAAGACACAGACAAGTAATGCATGCCACTCACAACATCTGAAAGTTTTAATAATATGTAAATAATGTGTGACAACATCTGTATGGCCTACAAGGCCAGCTGAGGAAAATTAAAGGAAACATATAATTTTGTTTTACATGCTGTTCTTATGCATTAATTGCTAACTCTAAGATGGAAAGTACATTACACCCAATACATCTTTATTTTGGTGAAGAAGTCAGCCCTGGTATCTGGAGTCATGAGAACAGATGAAGCCTGGCTGCCCACAAGAAAACAACGTCATGAGCTTCAACCCGGGTTCATCCCTGATGTTAGTGACCACTGGGGAAGAAACTGCAACGTATGGGAAGACTACTGCACAAGCCCCAGTGAAGAGGATGTGAACTGGAATGGGCATCAGTGGACTGGATGTGCTTATGAGTACACAGACGACCAGTACAGTCACAATAACGGCAATAATTTAGCAAACGTTCATCGTACACGCTGGAGCCTTGAAATGTATGCAGGTGTTGTTGTTGTTGCACTCTTCCTTACGCTGGTTGTCATAACTGTCTTTTAAAAATGGAGCTTACTGTTGATATTCCAGGACCATTAATTATTTCTTATGATTCTGGTTTAAAAAAAAACACAACTGAAGCATTTGCACAGAAAAGAAAGCACTGTTGCATGTCAGGGTTTCTGAATGGCCATTTTCACTGTGATAGGCTGAAAGAAATAAAAAAAAAAAGTATTGTTTATTTTCATTGCAGATACATGCACAAGACTATTTTTAAGACAAGCATTTGAAATAAATGAATTTGTTTCAAAGACTGGCTGCTGAGTAATAGAGTTGAGAAGGGTCATTACCTTGTTGCAGTAGGGACATTCTCCAAACACAACGTTAAAGCTCTGGCGACTCGTGGGCAGACCTCTCAGCCACTGTGATTACAAAAGGGTGAGCTCAGTTTATGATATGAAATGACACAACCAAATTGTAACCAGTTGTGATGATTACTGTAGTGATTATCCAGCCAAATCTTTGTATGTAAACAGCATTCAGGTTAGAATTGTTATAAATCACTGTGTATTCACCTCATAGAGACAGGCCTGATGAAATGGCTGCCCACAGCGTGGGTCATTGCAGACCTGGTCTGGGATGGCCGAATCCAGCCGATAAGCATAGCAGATGCCACACTCCACACTGAAGCTCTGATACAAAACCAGACATCACATTTGTAAGATGGTAATAGGCAGCTGCACCACTCAACAGAAAATGATCTCATTTTTTCCCACCTCATATTTTGACGTTTAACTGAACTGCCTGGTTTCTCAAAACTGTTGAGGCTCTGACAATAATCCAAAAAAGCCCTTCTATCTGAAATCTGCATCTACTTGTCGCCCTTTCCCCCAGTCTCTCATCCCTCTTTTCCTGCTATCTGAGGGCTGTAATGCATGGGGGTTCATATTTGTTTCCACAGGGCGAGAAGAATCAGGTGGGCTTATCAACCCTGTGTGTACTTGACCCCCACTTCACAGAATCCTCCTCCTCCTTAGCAAGATGCCAAACCGAGACTGGAGAGCCTTCATACATCTTCCCCCATACCCCCTTTTTCTGCTCTCCTCTTCTCTACTCTACTCCCCTCCACTCCATGCTCTGTTTGCATATTGCTTTTCAGATAATTAGAGGCTTTTTTTTCAAGCAATCCATTAAAAGGATGGCAGGTAAAATTTAAACATCTGGTCAAGTAAACTTTTCGCTCTTCAGAATGTTAATGACGGCCAAGCATTAATCAGTGGTGCAGACTGCAAATAAACACGGCGCCCTTTCAACCCGCCAGCCGTCACACGCGCACACACAGAAAAAAGATAAATTGTGGATCTATGATTAAACAGCTCTTGATAGTGCTGAGGATTCTGCCACCTTTGTTATTGTAATGATCTTATCTGTAAACAACCCAATTAAAGGAAATCTGTATCCACCTCTACCGATGATAAAAAAAAAAAAGAAAGGGGAAAAAAATCTTCCAAACCTCAAATGTGATTGCACTGTGCAACTAATTATAAGTGCGGTGTGTGACATGAAAATATGCAACGTACAGATTTTTCGTGGGTGGCAGGCGACGGGAATTCTATCTCCATAACATCCTTCATATTCTGTAGAACACTGCAGTCAGGGTTCCTGAAAGAAGAGGAGAAATCAGACCTAGATGCACCAATTAAACTCATGCAAACAACGATGTGGTAATCGATTCAATTCAATGATTATCACCCAAAAAAAAGGCCCACGTCATTGTGCAAACCAATGTTATGGTCAAGGCATGGTTTATAGCATATGATTAATTTTACATTGTATTACAGACATCCATACATAGAAATATGTTTGCGTGTCTAGGTATTCGCTGAATGCTAAGAATTTTTTTTTTTGGTAGATTTTGTCCTCTCTTTGTGATGCATGCTGCAATCAGGACAAAGATGGCAGTAATTACAGTCTCCTTACCATAAATGCATGTTAGCGTTCAGCTTATTCCTCAGGGGGGTGACCACTGCAAGGCACAAGCAAAATAACAATAACCGCACTGTGGATTGTTCACCACAAGATACTACTAATATTTCAAATTGTTTTGTAACAGCAAATATATTTAGTTGTGTATCATAATATTAACTACAAACAAGCAAAACAAATCACATCAATCAAACAGAGAGCTAGCAAAACAAGCCTGAGGGAGTGTTCTATAAGAAGGCAAGACCTGTGCTCGCCTCCTAATGTACCAAAGCAGTTTCAATTAACTGCACCTCATCTCTCATTCAGTGCCCGTCACCTGATTGTAGTGCACTGACAGACAATGCACAGCCATGTCATTTCTTACCACTAATCTTTACTCGCGCTTAGAAATGCCACAGCAGAGCAACAGCAGAGCCGGGAATTTCCTACTGTGACAAACAGTCTGATGGAGAGGGAAATATTCAAATAATTCACATAAAACGTGCTCATCATGGCTGTTCCACCCTGAGAGATCAATCTGGGAGGAATGTGATAGCCGCTTCCTCTGTTTGTCATTTGTAAATGCAAAAAGCAATATTTCTGTCTGACCCCTCGCTTGGAGGGTCCACGTCTGCCACTGTCTTGACTATTGAAGTGTGGATTTAATATCAATGAATAACATTGCTAGGCAACCAACAATATGTTCTGTGTGCCATTGTTAGCCAAGCATGACCTTGGATTTAAAGAAACAATCACAGAGGCTTAAATAGTGCCAACTGACCTCAATTCCAGCAAAATCTCTTTCTGAATCTAGAAGGACATTATACTGCAAACATATTGTAGCTTGTCAGCACGGCCAATCCTATTGTAGCAATCCTGTGTTAAATGTAATAAAATCTTTATGGGTTGTACACTTATAAAGCGAGGTAATTGAAAAACAAGGGGATAAATGCAGGTGACATATGGATTTTTCATATGTGAAATGCAGTATAACGAACAGGTAATGTAAACCATGGACACACATTCAGGTGAGGTAAATTTGCAGATATGAAAATACTCACCATGCTCAGCTCCAAGCAGGCAGCACTCCGGCAACATCTTGGGGTGTCTGGGGTCAATCTCGAGCTTTATGGAGACACTGTTTCCTAGGGACACAGAGCCAGAGCGCAGCGGCTGTATTATAGTACAGAAGTAGGAAACCACAGACAGTGAAGATGTCAGAGTTTACCAATGGCGATCCTCCTCATGCAGTCTGCTCTGGTGGGTTTTTCAGGTTCCAGCACCCAAGTGTGCTCATCTATCTCATCCAGCACTGCCCAGAACTCTGCCAAGGCCTCCACAATCAGCAAGAACTGGCTGTGGATGTGAGCCAGAGTACTCTAAGAGACAGAATTTTCAACTTTATTACATAAGCACACCAGTTAGAGCATGTGTTCAGTTAATACTCAAGCTTAGATGCATTACAAAACAAGACTATGCAAGCCTGTATACCCAGACCACAAAAAGATGTTTCCTAGCTGCCTCTGTTAGCTTAAAAGCTATCTTGCTAATCACAGTTAGCATGAAATGTTTACCATCAAAGCTAGCTAGAGAAAAATGTCATTCCTGGAGGTCTCCTACCTAAGTATTGCTGCGGTCAGTGATGAAATATTAATCCATTCAATAACACCAGCCACACAGCAATGAATCAGGAATCCAAGATCAGAGACCTGTAGCTATTTACTGGCTGTGCTTTCTGTGCGTACTTAACCTTTATGTTTAGAAAAACATTAAATTCCCATTAGTATAATGGAAACATATTGACGTTTACTCTTATACGCCTAGTACTTCAGATTAAGTGTGCTGAAGTGTTAAACATGAAATCTGAAGCAGACAGACAAGTGTTAGAAAAGCTTTGCTGAAACACTTTACGTGATCACTGAGAGAACAATTCAACCAACAAACTAAAGGTATAAACAGGCCCAGTGGTTTTGGGTACTGTTTCTCCAGATCATCCAAGCACAGATAAATGGTAATCAAAATTTTACATGCCAGAAAAGTAAGTGCTTGTCCCTTACACGAATGCCAGCAGATACAGTAAGAGAGACTAGAGGAATGGGATGAGTTCTGTCCATCTGTCTCCAGCTGCATTTCTATATGCTAAAAGGATGATTTTGGTTAATCCATCGTATTTATTGAGCACCTGCTCATTTCATTCAAACTGCAGTCTGATTGATAGACTAATCCTAATTTCACCATTTTTATTTGAAAGCTATTACAATTGCTCTTTGAAAAAATAGTATGAGGAGTACTTTACAACTGAACCACTTTGCATTGCCAAGATGCAAGATGACAAATTCATTAAACATCATGGAACTGAAGTATGTCACTGGTTCACAGACAGAAGCCATACATCTGATTTAGTAGTAACGCTGGTTAACATGTATAGCACTGGTGGTTTTGGTGTTAGGCTTTGAAGAGGATCTGAATGTGATAATAGTTGTAATAGTGAGGCCTCTTGCACTAAATTTGTACCACCTATCATCTTTTGATAGGACATGTATATTAGAACTACTGACATTTCAGGCACATTGTAGTTAGTACATAAATAATCCAAAGGTCTGTCTTTATGTAAAAGCTTTCTAGAAACACTGATGTCAAGAACAGCTATCAACTTTAAAAGGGAGAACAAAACAAAAAGATCCTACATTTCTCTGAAGTCTCTCCAACTTCCCATCAGTCTGTCATCAAACCACTGATTAGAACTTGTAATGAGAGCCCTACTAATAATAATTCTGATTGAAAAAGGGAAGAACATATCCCATACATCAGAAAACAAGTGAATCTGAGCAGTAGCTTTTGATCACTGCACACCACAGACAGCTCATTTATGGCTGTGCATTATAGCTTCCTATAATTCTAACATACACAAACACACCAGGGGCTCTCCTTCCTGTGGAGCTTGCTCAGCTGTGAGGCAGAGCTAATGGTTTAAGTATGGCAGCTCATAAATCATGGTTGCTGATTGACAGGTGATGGTGGCTGGCCCTGCTTCACTCTGTGCTGTCAGAGTGAGCGGGTGCAGGTTGACCATGACGATCTGCTCCGAGACCCACGCTCCCAGCCCTCCCCACCCCCCCCGTCTTTAATCTCAGCCCACAAAGAGGTTTGGTCTGGACACCAGATCCTCTCCATTCAAGTTTAAGACCACTGGTTTATTTTTAGAGCTTCTCAAATGGAGTATGGCCTTTTCTAAAATGAGGAAAAAAGGGGAACAGAGATGTAAATGTGGACTTTCAGAGAAAACTTTCACTTACTGTTCACATTGTGAAAGTGTTTCCATGCCATTCCATTATGGATTACATATCCTTTATTATATTTTTTATCATTTGGGTAGTTAAATGATAAATACTAAACACTTAGTTCTTAAAGTTAGCTAAAAACTAAGCACACTGCCACTGGATGTCAATTTCTTTCTAGGGTAGCAGTGACAATGTTTAAGGCAAATTTCTTACAATGAAATATCCACTACCTCTTTCATGAACAAACATCATTTTATCACCCAGGACAAAAGCATATTGACTTAAGTGTAAAGCTAAGTGGAAGGGTAAATGTTAAATCACCCTCGTCATCAGTAGCCTCATTTCGCTCCATTGTAATACCTCTGACCACATAATGCAGCCAATCTAGGAAGATTTACAGGGAGAAGTATGGGCATATTTAGGGATGTAATTTCATGCATTTCTCTTTTGTCCCGTAATTTGAGATGCTGCCGTTGATTATGTCCTTGATTCTTTGATACATTTCCATACATGTTAAATTGGAGGGAGGAGAACTGAATACAGCCCTGAGGCTTGTAATTGACCACAACAAAACAAATCCAAAGGCTTCCATTTTTTCAAAGCTCACTTACTTCATGTTTAGTAAGACAGATTAAAAGCCTCCCACCCCTCATAGACCACAAGAGAAAAGATTATATAATATATAAATAAGGACATTAAATAAGACAGAGAGAACAATACTGAGACCATGCAGTCTAACAGAAAAGAAAACCCCCTGGTGTGTGCTCAGGTAAAGAAAAGAGACAAAGGCAGAACACATTAATGTGAGTGAGCTACCTCAACATAACAGCCACCCAAGAAAAACGAAAGGCATCCTGACACAAGAGGGGGAAAATGAACCAAAAATGATGGGTCACTGTGCCAGTACAGTGCACACAATTTAGCATTGCACAGGTGCAAAAACTCTGCAATTACTTTCCAATTAATGCCAGTTGTGTGATTATGGTTATGCTTTTATGTGAATATATGGTCCAAGTAAAATGTCCTTGTAATTGAATTCCTACTGGAAAGGAGGCTAAAATGCGGACTGGCACAATGGATTCATGTTTAGTGAGGTGACAGTCTGTTCACCACACTGTTAACTATTCCAATTAAGTCTCTCTTCATAATGGTCAACAATGCATATTCATAGAGTCACTCAGAGAATGAGTATGATGTAAATAAATCAATAAAAGTCAGGAATGAAATGAGGACTATTCTTAAAACTCCCTTAATGGGTCTTCTGAAAAGCCCTGGTTAATGAGAAAGGTATAATGCATGATGCAAAAGGCAAGGTTAAACTAAATAATGTTAAAAGTGCAGCCAATATTTTATGAAGATGTTTTTTATTCTGGTCCTTTCAAACTGTCACAGACATTTTCAGGTTTCTCCAGACAAAAACCAGAAAAAACAAGCAACAGTGCTTTCTTTTAATTGTTCTGAACAGTTTTGTAGCAAGGTCAGCATTTATCAATGTCACCAAATACATATCCAAGAGCTGGTGGATATTTAAGTGGTGATTCCCTCAAATACTTCACAAAAGTCTACTGTATGATGTTGCAAATGTAGCCTTAAGGCTACTGATTAGCCCTGTTCAGATGCTTAACTCAAACACTTATCAAAAAATGATAGGCTACAATAACAATCAAGTCATTACCTTAAGTAAATTAAGTAATCTTTTACATACCAATACAACGATAAATGTCCAATTATTACAAATGTCTAAAGCTGTAACAATACAGCATATCATATCATATCGCAATGTATCGTACTGTATCGTGACTAGCATGCTAGCTTGTGGCTAGAGTACTAGATCTGTACACTATGAAGCAGCTTTTGTTTCAGATACTTTTACAATGCTGAGTGTTCTAATTAACTGAAAATGGATGCATTACTATACAGCACAGTTTTAACCACTGCTTATTTTTTCTGTAGCAAAAAACTTACCAAATAGACTCTACTGTATTGCGATGAATCAAACTATGAATTTTGAGAATTGTTACACCCCTAAAAATAACACTAAGTAACTGTGTTAATTTCTTTTCCTTTAGTCCAATGTTTTTAATTAGCAGTTGTGATTTGTATCTACGATCCTCAAATCAATTCACTGACAAATTTCAAGGGTCTTCCTTAATATCATTCTTAATACATTCCTTAGAATTATGAATTCTGAATTCTTAAAATCAAGTCAAATTTTAATTCACCAAAAAAGTTAACTGCCATATTCTAATTCATAATAATGGCACAGTGCCTTTACAAATCATCATTAACAACACATTACAAACACAGAGATGTAAACAAATGACAAATTTTTAAAATAAATAATAATAATAATAGCAGCAGTTGAGTGTGGTCTGAGGGAGCATTAGCACACCAGTGCCAGAAGATGTACAAAGAGCGCTGAAGAAACTAGATTGGCTGGGAGCAGTCAGCAGACGTTGGTACTGAATCAAGCAGAGCTGTAGGCAGGGTAATTGATAGAGAATAGGGCTGATATGTGCTGATTGCTTAGTGTGAGTGAGGACCATTTTCATATGAGTTCTGCATAAAGTGAAATCTGTTCAGGGTTTCTAAGGAGTGACCGATGAAAAGGGAATTGCAGTTGTCGAGACATGAAGTAATGAAGGCATGGACTAGTGCTTCAGCATCTTTCAATTTAAACAGAGGATAACGGCAAGCAATCTCACAGAGGTGGAAGAATACAATTTTAGTGTGTGACTTCACTGCGAGCTTAAAATTCATACACAAAAAAGTCATAACATGACTGAGTCTCTTAAAAATATTCATTTCTGATCTTAAATGGAAACCTGGACACTTCTGTATATCGCTGTTATCGGAAGAAAACCTTGTATCTCCAAAATGGTAACTTTACAGGAGAAGGAAATAACATACTTTACTTTCAATGTAAGTCAATGGAACCAGATGTCTTTGCAAGTCATTCTGGACCATTTCTTTTGGTGCATTCATCATGAAATTTACACACAATGTAAAGAACAACAGACATTTTCAAATTATGTTAAAAACTGAAAAATGACAGAAATGGAGATATGAGGTTTTCTTCCGACAACAGCGATATGTTTATTATTGGACAGTTGTGTATGATAGGACAAATACATTTGCTATGTAAACAACTGGTGACTGATGACTTTGAACTGTGAACACTGAATAAGTCTTCCTTATCGAAAACACGAGTATATAACCTGACACAAAAGTACTTAAAAGCTCCTGAGTCACTATGTATAATGGCTAGTACTCATCTTGTACCATAGCCAATGCACATAAATAGTTCAATAAAGTTATTAGTAATCAATTCGTAATGTCACACTCTATTTCCTCCTCTTCTAGGACATGGCAGGTGTACATCAGCCAAAGAGCAGAACAAAGCATAAAACAGTATTCATGACTTTTACAGAAAATTAAAAGTGAACTTGTCATACCATTCTAACAAGCAGGAAATCCAAGTATCCAGGGAGCATTACAACAGAGCATCTGTTTAACTGCTTTGAACCACAGGGATGCTTAAATGTCTGCATTGTGATTAGTTCTGCTTTTTTAATAATGTTAAGAATAATATGCTTGTCCAACGCATGTGTGTTCTTCATTAGCTAGCAAAATGCAAAACAACCAAACGTTTTACACAATATTTCAACTAGGAGAACACTTCAAAAACAATGGTGCAAAAAAACATGGAAATGACATGGAAGTTTCTGCATGCCACAAATTACTGACATTTGCCAGCTTGTTATATGAGCCAGATAGGATTGCTTTCAATATAAATGAATTAGACATACAAACCTCAATTTCAAAAAAAGGTGGGACAGTATGTGAAACGCTAAGTGATCAGTAAATTATCTGTATTAATCTGTAAACAGTACAGAAACACAAAACACTTGTTTTACTCTATGAACTTCATTTTTTCATAAATGTACATTCTTTTCCAGCTGTGTGTCAGATATTTCTCAGAGGATGTCGCATAATTTTCTACTATTAATTCGTGAAAAAACTGAATTACTGATTGTTGGTACAGAAACTCCTAGAAAAATGATTTTTGAGAAACTTGGTTCTTTAGCTTCATCTACCAAACCTGAAGTACGAAACCTGGGTGTGATCTTAGACTCTGAGCTCTGTTTTACCCCACATGTAAACACGGTCACTAAAGTAGCTTTTTATCATTTAAGAAATATCGCTAAAGTTCGGCCTTTTCTATCTCAGAGCGACGCAGAGAAACTTGTTCATGCATTTGTTAAAGGCAGACGTGACTACTGTAATGCTCTTCTTGCTGGACTTCCTAAGAAAACTACACATCCCTTACAACTTGTACAAAATGCAGGAGCGCACATCCTAACAAAAACAAAAAAAGAGAGATCACATCACTCCCGTTTTGAAAGAACTACACTGGCTGCCTGTATCATTCAGGATAGATTTCAAGGTTCTGCTACTAGTCTTTAAAGCTCAAAACAACCTAGCACCTGCTTACATCACAGAGTGTCTGTCTGTTTATGTTCCGGCACGTAATCTAAGATCTGCAGATAGTGGCCTTCTACAGATACCCTCTGTAAAATACAGAAAACATGGAGAGGCCTCTTTCAGTTATTATGCTTCTAAACTGTGGAACTCAATTCCACCTTTTATTAGACAGTCAGGCTCAGTGCTCACTTTTAAGAAGCACCTAAAAACATATCTCTTCAAATTAGCATTTAACTAAAACTGAATGTCTCGTGGTTTTTATCTTGTAATTTAATCTTCATTTTCTTCTGATTCTAATTAAGTACTAATGATCTCTTCTATAACTATGTTTTATCACCTGTCTGTAAAGCACTTTGAGCTGCCACCGGCATGAAAAGTGCTATATAAATAAAATTATTATTATTATTATTATTATTATTATTATTATTTCAAATTTAATGCTTGTAACACATTCCAAGAAAAGTTGTCAGAGGAGCATGTCCACCACTGTATCACATCACCTTTCTTTTTAATTACAATGATCGTTTTGCAATTGAAGACACTGATGAATCCAGTTTTTAAAGCAGAATTTTCTTTCATTCTTCTGTTATTAGGCTGTTGTCAGGCTATTGCACAACCACACAGGGCCTTCGTTGTTGCATTTTGTGCTTCATAATGCTTAATGCAGATGCGGCATCCTATGACAGTGCCATGTTTAAAGTCATCAGTACAACCCATTCACATGCCAGTGTTTGTCTATCGAGTCTGCAACGCTATGTGCTTAATTTTAGCCACCTGTTAGCAATACCTGATAGTAACACCTGAACTCAATAATTAGAGGGGTGTCCTAATACATTTGTTTATATAGTGTATATTTATATCTTTCATTGTTAATGCAGCCTTTACAGATGTGCAAGTTACCCATGCCACAGGCACTAATACACCACTATACCATGATAGATCCAGGCTTTTTAACTTTATGCTGGTAACAGCCTGGATGATCTTTCTCTACTTAGGCCCAGAGAACACGGCATACATTACTTCAATGGACAATCTGAAACGTTGACTTGTCAGACCACAATACATGTTTCCATTGTGCATCAGTCTATTTCAGATGAGCTTCAGATGGGCCAGAGAAGGCGGCTTTTCTGGGCGTTGCTGGCATATGACTTGTGGCTATGCAGTGACCAATGGTGTTTATTATCAACAGTTTGTCAAGGTATTCCCAGGCCCATGTGGCATGCCAGTCTTTAATAGTTCTATCTGAAGGTCACAAGCATTCAGTTGTTGTTTTCAGCCTTGGTCTTTACACACAGATTTCTTTTGATACTATGCACTGTAGAAATCCTCGCTACGGCTTATTGAGTAACATTGTTCTTAAACTGTTGGATTATTCGCTGATGCATTTAGGAAAGTGGCAAGCACTGACCCATTCTTGCGCATAAAGGACAAAGTTTGTCCTGGATGCTCCTTTTATACTCAAACATGATTGCATCACCTGCTCTGTTGAACATTTCACAACATTCCTAGTCTTAAACTGCCCCATTACAACTTTTTGGAACATGTTTCAAACATCAACTGAGTGTATAATTATATAAAAAAAGCAATTATGTTGACCTATCTTGTCTTCACTTTCCCAACTTTTCTAGAATTGAGATTTATTGAGGATATGATTAGATACCCCAGTATGACAGTTTACTGACCCCCGGAAATATAAAAAAAATAATTCTGAAAACACACGTTAAGCAAAGAAAATTAATGACTTGCCAACTAGGAATACACAATCAGAATCGGTCAAGATGGAAATCAGGAGATTTTTACTCCAAACATGCGATCATTAATCAGCAACTGATTTTTTTTTTATTTTGGCCAATTTGAGTCAGATAATGCACTTGTGCTGTATTTGAGTGTTGCTGCTATACCTATTCCAAAATGTTGTAGCATAAATATAAATGGCTGATCGTGCTAAAAAGCCAGGTGCCTCTCACTTGTGTTGAGGACCTAATACAACTAAAGTTGTTATATTGCCCCCGAAAATTTAACCTATAAAGATTAAATGCCATGTTTGACACCTCCATTTAAAACTGGAAACCTTCACCTACAGTCACACTTTTTACGCAGACCAAAGCATTTACTGTTATATCTGCTCTTTAATAATGGATATAATGACTATGATATACACATGGTTGCCAAATTTGTGTAAATAAGCACAAAGTTTAGTAGATGAATCAGTTCCACACAACTAGTGTGTTTGAATGTCCAAAGATTTTGGAGAATATGGCAAGGTTCATTTTTAATATCTGCCATTATTACCAGAACTGGCATATGCATGATTAAGGCACATTCTGTGTGCATTCAAGTATGATGAACGAGGCCCCAGGACGCTGGCTGTGAGGCTGACTGAGCTGCGTTCCTGTGGAGTCACACCTGCACTGCTGCGTCTGCCACCGTACAAAGAGCTTAACTAGCAAAAACCTCTGATCGCCACTGTATACTTCTCCATAGCACACACAAACGCTCTACGGCCTTGCAGTGCCAACCTGTATAATTATTCATTTAAATCTTCTTGAGAGGCAGGCGGACAGATTTTTCTTTTCTCAGAACAAAGGAGATGCATCAAGACATCAGTTGCCCAGCAGGGCCACAGCCAGCAGAAGGCTGCTCTGTGCTGAGCTGGTCTTCCCTGTCAGAGAGCCATGTACAGATGCCACGTTACACACGCAACAGTACAACCAGGCCAGCAAAACCTCTCTCACCTTCAACACTAGTGTTGCACAATATACCAAAAGTTAGATGATCAGAGATTATAATTAGCTGTAAAAAACGTAAGATTTTTCTGTTTATTTCCATAAGTATTACATAGTAGTACTGTCATACTACACTCTATTTTCGTAACAGTCAAAATTCTGGTATTGAAGCAACCCTGTTAAACACTATGGTGTACTCTGATATATGACTGAGGAGAACAATTCTTCATTCTGTTCTTTAGTTTTATTTAGTGGGATACAGGCCTCTCCAGTTAGTGAGTTTCTTTCACACCTCTTCCAATCTCCTCATTGTCCTCTCAGTTCATCTGGCACGCTTTAAGCCTCTGAGAACTGTAAATTATTTTAAGGAATGCAACATCAAAGCAATTCTGCTGTACAGAACACCTTTCATCATAGACACAAACATGCCTTCAAATGCCAACCTTCAAGTAATTAACACCACTGAGCTCGTATTGTTGAGTAAAAGGAGGCCAATTAGAACAATACAATAAAAGCCAAAGCATTTTAAGAATGCTGTGCATAAACAGGTTAAGGCAGCATACCTGTGGGGTCCATGTAATGGCCAATGGGACAGGGAGGTCTGCAGAGCATTCTGGAGCTTCAGCTGGGTACTGAGAAGAGCAGAAAACGGGGCAATAAAAATACTGTTCATTCTCTTTCTTCTTTATAGCAACTTGTGGACAGTAAACTGTACCCAGAGTTTAGTTATGAAAGAGGAAATAAAGATCTCTAGAGAGGGATGTATTGGATTGGTCAAAGGATAGATAACTGACAATTAATAGTTTCTTTCTTTTGTTTGTCTCAATATTTCAGTCTTCTGTGGTAGTAAGCAGTCATACTACAAGAATGATGAGAGAAATAGCATGTTTTAAAAAATAGTGTGCTTTACTGCAGAAGATCAGGTCTTTATTCTCAACCACTAGCACCTAGAATTGTGTTTCAAGTGTTATTAAAAAGAAACAATTTCAAACTATAGTACTTCTTTAACACAATTTCTAGTTCTATCCATTACAAATACCAAATGCGAGGTTATCTATCTGTATCTATGGCCTACACCAGCTTCCACACCTACCCAGCATGGCTGAACTGGGGAGGTGCTGGCAGCTGAAGGTCCTGAGAGAGATGCCCTGCTCTGCAAGGATGAGCAGATGTGAGGCAGGGGGATCACTGCTATTTTTACCCCTTAGCGGGCAGGTGGGCACAGAGGGTTCCTCACGCCCTGCTGAATCTCATCAGGACCCAGTGCAGTGCCAGCAACCTGCCGCTGGCAGCTCTACCCCACCACCCCTCCAAACCTGGAGTCGCCTTGGCCTTGCACTCCCTCTCTCACACGCACGCACACCAAGTACAGGGGCTACTGCACCTCTCGCACATCACAATTTTCTGCTTCTGCTGTGGACCCTGTAATCACTTTATGGAGATCACTCATGCTCTTATCTCTTCCTCTGCACATCTCACCTTCTCTCCTCTCTGCTTTAGGGGAAGTTACAATCTTACCTCTAAATCTCTGTAAACAATTTTCCAGTCACAGCACATTAGCACCACTCACCTAAAGTTACCTAAACTCAACTTATTTAAACGCAGAGTTTATTATTATTATTATTATTATTATTATTATTATTAAGTCTATAGTATGAATACAGTGAGTGACCTGTCTTCTGACTAGTTTAGATTGCAATCTTCAAACAAAGAATTCAGGTAAACCAAGACTTGAAGATAAACTCATTTTCAACCTAATCACTGTGGTTGGGCAATGTGACTATATTTCACCCTTAAAATATTCTCTCTAATATCTCGCTTTTCTGAGCATATCATAGATATGGTCAGTACTTAAAGAACACTGACCAAATGCATTATTCATACAATAAGAGAATACTTAGATCTGTTTTTCTTCACAGGGAAATGAAACAATCTGTGGTAACTGAATGTACAATAAAGATGTGGTAGATAGTTACTAGGTTGGAAAAACACCATTCTGGATTCTGGTATACCTTTATGAGAGAACAGCAGGGAAGAAAAAGAATGCCAAAAGATGTAATGTTTATGAGAGAAGAGTGGCACATCACCTTGGGCCTTAAGCTTGACCGTAATGGCATGTTGGCGGCCAGAGGAGTCCTCTGCACTCAGCTGAAGAGTATGGAAGTCCGTATCGATGAAGAGCAGCCTACCAAGCAAATCAATTGCACACATTAGTGAACAGTACAGGTTTACTGTGAATGGAAACACTTTCTGAGCATTATCAGAAGTAAGAACATAACCCTTCAGCCTTTTTTCTGTTCCAACTTCCTCAGAAAAATGACATATGATACATATCATGTATGGTGAAAATGTTTTCAAGTATTGTGATATTACATTTTCGCCATATCAGCCACTCCTCTTTGGAAGTAAGGTTTTACCAGGTGGTCTCCATTTCCACAGTGCCGCTCTGACTGTACCAGTTCATTGCAAATTTATGCTGGCTAATGCCCCACTGTTCCACCTGACACGGTCCTATTTCCACTGCTTATTTACGAGCCATGTCAAGATCTAACTTGTGACTGCCTGACACACACACACATACTGTCCTGGGCATTCCCATCAGCAAAGACCAAGAACACACACATTCACCTTCTGTCACACAGCACTTAGCTCCACATAAAACACTCAGAGACAAGCAAGACCGTACAATCCATACCGCCCTGCACCTCACTCCCCTGTTCTGTTTACTACTAGAATATACTCCCTTTCTTCCCATAAGCCATTTTCTCTCCCATCTCACACTATCAAATGATCCCCTCATCGCATGGTGCAGTAGCAGTAATTCTTTCACCGTTCTCCCACTCTTGTATTCTATGCCAGAATCGGTATCTTTCTCATTACCTCGCTCACTAACTGAAAGTATAATTAACATACCCACCAACGTTCTCATCTTTCTTACTATCTCCCAGTACGCATTCAGCATTCCTTCACTTTCTGAATAGACTTTTTTTCTCATGCTTAGGCCCTCGCTTTTACACTCCATAAAGCAATGGGATGAATATCGCATTCAGTTACATGAACCTACGCCTCAGAACCGCACTATTCATTCATTTCCACCAAAGAGAAATCCGTTTTCCAAACCAGAATGCCATTCTGCTACTCTGCATTCTACAGAGATCACCAACCGAAGTATCAGGCCTTACTGGCATTCAGTTCAGATGATTGAAACAGCTTGACAGCTTGATGTCTTGCTGTGAGGATTGATGAGAGCATTACATTTGCAACTACAAAATCAGCAGCGCTCATAAACGTTGGAGGGAACATTTGGCGTGTGTGCATACAAACAGGCCACGGATGAAGATACAACAGTATAAAATTTGTCTGAAAGAGTAATTCAAAAATATAAGCTGTGATATTGTCAAGGCCGCTTTCGACGATTCCGCACCGAGGCTTTCGAGAGCCAGCTGCTGAAAATAGTAAATGTTATTCCATTCTCACAGGTGCCACCAGAGATCATGTGTTTTAAAATATAAGTGCTAGCTAGACTGAGATGGCGAGAGGGACAGCCAATAGGAAACATTTTCAGGTGTCATTATCCTGGTGGGGTGTTAAAAGACTACAGCGAAAGCCTCGGTTTCTATCCCTCATATATGTGCAGGCTGTGACAACCTCCCACCATGGCCCTGGTGCAACGACTGTCAGAAAAAGCAGAACAGTTTTAGATATGCATATAAGAGCAAAGGTAAAATCACCCCAAAACTGAAAATGTATGCACATTGTCTTGTTTTTCTCTTAATTTAGGTTTGATTTGTGCAAAACTACGACATATTCTATACTGAATACTTACAGGATTCTAAGTGACTGGTCATAGTATGATGGTCTGTAATTTTTCTTAATGCCAAACACTTTTGAGCTATATTGAGGATAAGAGAGGAGTGAAGAATTGACCCCATCTTTACAGTAATTAACACTAAACGTGCCTTCTTCAAGGCAACTAAAACTCATTAAAATGACCAGGTTCTGCAGCACTTCCCCCTTGCCTAAACCAATCAGAGTCCATAACTATGTCAGACTTCAGGCTATTACCACTGATACAAATTAAGGATCTTAATTAATCTCAAGTGCATTTACAGATAGAGCTGGTGTATAATACTTCTGACCGCAATTCAGGGCTGAAATGTGCACCTTGTCTCGTCTCTCTCGTATAACTTCGACATTTCCCCATTAAACTTGAGAGTGGGCTCCCAATTAGAACAATTTGCTTTTGCTAATATCATAATTATATCTCTGACCGTTAATAGAAAGAGGAAAGTGTGAAGCCGACCAAAATCAAAGCATGATCACATACATGGCTTATAAACCACATTAAACCTTTCTGTTAGAAACAAAGACTGAACTGATTAATATTTGTATATGTCTGGTATGACTACATTCGGAACTAATGCATGATGTAGGCCTATATCAGGTAAACCATCAGAGACCAGTTCATCTGCTGTAAACAGAAGGAGGCAGGAGGGGAGGGTGATATGGCAAAAATATCTTATCACAATACTTAAAGATGTTTTCACGATGCACAATACGAACCGCAATATTTTGCCACACAGACACACAAGTAGTGCCAAATTTCAAAACAGCCATCAAAATTTCAGGCACAATGATTTTAATTCAAATGTTCCACACATTGTACATCACTGAATCCAATTAAACTGGACCAATTATGCTTTTTTAAATTAAACATGCAGTTGTTTAGTGTTAAGTTCCAAATAATATCAAAGATCCAAGATAGAAAAGCATATAACAACATCTGTCACGATATTGATAAAATATCATCATATTGCTCCCCCTAGTAGACAAATATAACTATTTGCACCTGCCATTCAAGGCCACCATGTCAATAAATCTTGTGGCCAAAATTAAAGACTTTGTGGCCAGAAGGATAGACACGTTTGTCATGTATAATTTGCAAAATTAACTAACATGCTTCAGTATCAAAAACTAGTCACATTGCTTTGAGAAAGGAAATATTAAAACCTTCACATTAACAAGAAGATTGTCATCATGTTACTGATTGTGGCAGTTAGGGTTCTTGAATTCCTACAAAATTTTATTTGACGTAGTTAGTTTCATGTCTGAGCAAACAGGCTCTGGATCTTGCATGGGAGGGTATTAAGTGGTGGTTTTGTTATTAAAAGGTGAATACCTGCGAATATTTGCTAAAAGAAAAAAACAACTGCAAGGCAACTGGCCACTTGGGTCACTAGCACTATGTTTTTCTGGCTAAAATGTGATATGTTGAGGCAACAGGCAATGCAAATCCCTGGCTGTAGACCACCAATAAGGTCACTCAGTAAATAAATTTTCTGGTTGTGGACATTATGTTTTCTAAACCAGAAAGTGAAGATTTTCAAATCAGCCTGGACAAGTCTGGAGAAGAAGCTCCAGCTGAACAGTCTTTGATTTGTTTGTGCCTTTAAAATAAAAATAGCTTTTGGAGCAGGACATAACATACTTATCCCATCCTAGATCCTCTATCTCTGTGATGAGCTGTGAATAGTACTGAGGTGGTGGAATGGACAGCCATCCTGGCTGGCTCTTCAATGCCACTTCCTGACCAGAGGTAATGCAAAGACAGTAAAGTAAATCAGTGCATGATAAAATGTGGTAAATATACCATATGATGTCCTATACACCACAAAATATGCAAAGAAAACTCATAATATAAAGTGAGGAGAAACATGACAAATACAGAGGAAAAGGATACAAATAACAAAATTACCAATATTGTCCTCAGCTCCAAAATAAAACTGACCAAATCTGAAGAATGATGTAACCTCTGTGTGAGAAAAAAAAAAGATCATTATTATTAGCCTAAACCAACACTTTTTTAAATGTATTCCTGTCGTTTGATTAATGGGGTTGGTCATCAGGGTTAATAATAATTTAATGCTTATGAAAGTAATGAACTTTGCTGCCCAAAGTAAAATAAGCTTGAATGTAATCCTTGAAGCCCTGAAGGCACACGAATAACAATACTGAAAACTTGCTGTTAATTAAACAATGGACCAATCTAACTAAGGAAGGCAGACACAAAATTCTAATGTCAAACATTTTTATTTAATGCAATATTACCTGTTTTACGATATCCTGATAATTTTTCAGTAACTGTTTCAGTTTCCAACAACAGTGCAACCTGCAAACAAAAAAGTCCTGAAAAATCAGGCAAAAGCAGTAGCAGCCCGAGTTACACCTACACAGCATAGACACAAAAATCATAAAGCAACATGCAAGATTTCCACTGTCAACTGCTTTATAAATGAGTAAATTAAATAATCTCATACTTTGCCTGCTTCAGCTGATGGTCTGGGGGCAGAGATATTCTGAGTCTGAAGTCTTTTTCCTGTCAACAGAGGTACAAGTTCCTACTTCTAAGAAAGTAGTTACATTCCCAATCCTTGCTGTATACAACGTTGACTATGCATGCATGTACTTTTCGGTAAAACTGATCCACTATAAACTTAACCTACGTTGCTGGCATGAAAGGACAACTCACCGGTTACCCTGATAAAGTGACATTAATGAACGTGCTCTATGCTTCAAAAGTTTGTTTTTAGCAGTAACTAACGTTAGTGTACCCACCTGCACTGAGATGAATCCGTCGTAAACAGTTCTCTCCTTATCGAGTGCAACTAATAAAGGACTCTCTTTAAGCAAACTATCAGTCATTGTGAAAAAAGAACCCCCAAAAATAAAATAATATGGCTCTCTTACTTATAAACTGGTAAGATAAAGCGAGCTAAGCCGCTAGCTGCCTATCCAGCTATGTTTGTATTCAGTTAGCTGCCTGGCTAGCTAACGTTAGCCAACTCAATCACTTCCAAAACACTGGACAACCTTACGACATTTACACTTACTACTCTCTTGTACATGCTGGGTGTAGACCGAAAAAATATTAAAGAGTATTCATTTACAGTATGCTAATAACGGTAGCTGAGAGTTTCTTCTGCTAGTCCATGTTAAATCATAAGTTAGTCCTCAGCTAACTTTGTCCGGTTTCCCGCAACGGAATCAAATCACAGCTACGTCATCAAAGTTTCAATGAGGAAACTTTATGTGAAGGGTTCCAGTGGCTGAGGGAGCCGTTAGTGGGCACCTTCAAGGTGAGTGTGGGAGTTAGCTAATAACAAAATTAGACAAAAATATTTACGTAAATAAATAGAACATATTTTAGGACAAGGCTTCGAATTAACATATCAAAACCAACAGTTGCTACTGTAAATATATAGTATAGCTAAGTGGTTTAGCTCGCTGTTTTTCCACAGGAAGATTACAAATTGCTAACGTTAGCGCACAAAATTTAGCTAACTAACATTTAGTTTTAGGTTTAGCCCAGTGGTGCCAAAACTGTTTGTCTTGGGGGCTAATATGCAGTGTTTTTAAAAATGGATTTTGTTACACATCACTAATCACAGTTTTAAAAGGAAAAATAATTTAAGTTGCATGTAAGTTAGTATTAAAATATGTTTGTTTTCTTGTTAGGTGATGGAGTTTTAACTTTCTTTTTTTTTGATTATATAATTTGTCGGTCAGTCTACAAATACACAAGGCATACATTACAAACAGCATAAAAAAAACACCATGTTGAACAGTAAAACAACAATTAACAGGGAAAAAATCCAAATAAAAAAATACAATAAAATACAAGGTGGCTTAATGAAGGTTTATGTCAGTCAAAAAGTTATTAAGCTTTCTTGTTTTTTTCACACATTTCAGAGACTTATACAACAAATGAACATCCATCTTCCATATATTTAGTTGGGGAATCATCTGAATACATCAGCACTTAAAGAGCTTTCTAGTGGGCCAAATCGAACATTCTGTTGGCCAACTTTGGCCTGAGGGCCACACTATGGGCAGCCCTTTTCTAGCCTATCTTAACTTCTAATCTGACTCCAGTTAATTGTCAACCATTTTTTTTATTATTTTATACTAACATGACTAATGCATAATGTATTATTGGTTTACAGTAACTGTATTTTTTTAGACTTTATAGGCCTGTATATACAGTTACACAAAAGCTACAACCTTCATGTTACAGTTTTTTTACAGAGATATGCTATAGTGTACACTGCACACTGTACTTGACTACATTTGCATTAGGTAGCTTGACAATGAATACGTATTCAGTTCTTATGTACTTTACAATGGGACTCCCATTTCTGTAACAGTTTTCATTTTTCCAGGTGTTTTGTAAACGCAAAATCCTTTGTTCTTTATTTACAATTGCCGCAGCAGTAACATTGAATCTCATTATATTTGCTATTGTCTTTGTGCAGAAATACTCAAATATTCATCTTTGTTTAATTGCCTTAAAGAAATTGCTCATATTACCAGCCTAGAGTGCAGCCTTCAAGTGTATTATTATATAGGCGATTGCTTGTGAGGAGTGTGTCAACCGTGCATGCTACACATTGTGCCTAGAGAGATTGATGTTTTGTCATCCACCTGCTTCAAAGCTGTAAAACCAGCCGCAGCAAAGGCAAACCTACCCAGCTTCAAAATCCAAACAAAGAAATCTTAGTGGGCTGTTTACATATCAGTGGAGGGATATATGGGCTTGTGCTGATGTGGTGCCAGAATGGTTGAAAGATTTCAGTCCCTGCACAACGGGTGAGTGTTAAATGCCTTTTTTGTTTGCTACAGCGAGGGACAATTTAAGGCGATTTTGGCTCTGGCTTTGGTTTTGAGAGGGTAAGCCTGGCAGCCCTGCGAAGCTTTCTCACCCTCGCATGCAGATTGCTACAGCCATGCACTGCAGAAGTCTAATGGCATTTTGGAGTTAAAGATTTATGCAATTATGCTTTTTGAATAGCAGAACAAATGTGTCGACTATTTCTTTTCTCCCTACTGTTCGTCTGTTCCGACGTCTAGCGTTCTTTTATACCTTTTGAGCAGAGTGATCTATTGTGCCTTGTTTATCGCCAGCCGTGGTCAGTTCTCTAGAATGCAATTGGCTGGAACTACATCGTGTGGGTCTTGCTCCCTGCTTTTTTTTTCTCTCTCCCTCTCTCTCTAACAGATTCCTTTGAAGCGAGACAAGAGCAGGGGTGCCCGGTTTATCGCGCCTCTCTTTTTCGCTCTCCCTCTCTCCTCACCATGCATGCATCTGAATGAGAATAGGGAGCTATTGTTCTGAAAGGATGTCACTGTAAGGAGCGGACCGAATGTATAAAGCCAGTTAAGAAATTCTGAAGACAGATCATTATTGCAAATGTGAATTTGATGTTTTCATGGAGGGGGCTTGAATCTTCCTTTATGTTTCTTCAGGTTCTGTTGAGCACAGTGGTTCAGTAGAGGTATCATCTAGAAAGAATATATAATAGCTAGCAGAACTATTATATTGTATTATATTATATTATACATGTTCCATAATGTTGCATTATTTGCTGCATTTAGTCTATTTATCATTTTTCTCTGACTCTTGTGTGATCCATATTGAGTTATGCTGTGTGGACTCTGGCATGTGTATTATTTCCAGCTTTAGCAGAGCTCCCTTTGCTGCCCATTATTTGAATGACTAGTGTAATGAGACGGATCAAACCCTGGTGTGGGGCTGACCAGGGACGCCATGCGTGTCAGCTATTTGGCCGGTGTCCTGGACTGTCATTAGGCTCTCTTTATGGAGCCATTCAGACTGTACATGAGGCACAATATGTCAGAGGAAGTTAAAGTGTCCCGGCCCACTCTCCTGGTTCCCCCTCATTTACGGTGTGTGCAGTGACACCGCTGGCCAGCAGCCTGTGCCATGTGTGTGACAGGACACTGTGCAGTATTTCATCAGCAGCCAAACACTTCAGTGTTAAATACCCGTTTGGGTACAGATAGCCAAAGTGTGGAATTCTGACCAGAAACAGTCAGGCGTACTTCGCAGGGCGGGTATTTGTCCATGCTTGTGAAGAATAGTAGAATCATAGTAGGACTGTGTGTCGTAGGAGACGAGTAGCTGCCTTTGATCCTGTTATCCTCAGCTGTTACCGCACTGGCACCCATTCACACCAGTGTGTCTGAATGAGCAACATGGCTAATTTGCTGTGTCATGCGCTGGACCAAACCCTTTCCTCCTGCAAGTGAGGCAGACAGTGTGAAGACTTAGCCTGGATTACAGGACTTCAGAGATAGCGCTGAATCCAGCCTCCTGTCCGACATGAATTGATCGGATTAGAAAGGGTGGATTCCATCCCTGAGGGGAAACCAAGCAAGTTGTATATAATTGACTTTTTTCCCTCCATGTCTTGTGGGCAGGGTCTGCTGGCAAAGGGGAATACCTTGCAGAGTAAATATCAGAAAGGGCCGAGGTTTGATCAGTTGGTGAAGGCTTAGGAATCCGATCAATACTGTGCTGTTGAGTTGTAGCTGCAGCTCAAGGATACAGTGCAAAGAAGCTGTGTGTATGTTTGTGGGTGTGTGTGTGTGTGTGTGTGTCTGAACTATGAATTTTCAAATATTTTTGACACTTCTCAATGGTCACATTTCTTAAACTTAAACTTAAATAAAGAGCAGAAACTCACATTAATAAAAATACAAATATTATATTCTTAGTGGTTTTGTTGGATTGTGTTAAAGAGCCCATATCATGGAAAATAAAACAATTCCTTACTATTTTGTGAAAAAATTCATTTTTGTAGTAAATAAACATTGTTAAAGTTTCAAAATGTAGTGTTCACTATTAAGTCCATACAGTCTATGTATGGAAAGTCAGCAGCACAACCGACTTTTGAATTCACAGTTTGACCATTTTGAATTCACAGTTTTTGTGATGTCACAAAAAACAATGTTTTGACATGCCTGCAGGAGTTTAGCCGTGCCCATTCATGCTATAGTTATAAGTTACATGGAGTGTATCAAGCTGAACATGAATATGAAAGAAATAGGCTATGGTCTCTTTAATTATTTTTATTTTTATTATATTAATCAGTTCTTTTAATAAAATGTATATGTTATTCTCATGCTAAAGCCTAGGTTAAGATGCATTTTTACAGATTTTTGGCATTTTTACTGTGAGATTGAGTTTTCTGGTGTGATACGGTAAGCGTCACGGAGCAGTTCGTTCAGGCTGTCTGTGTGTGCTGCATCACTCTTGGTGTAAAATCGGCTTAATAGACATAAACAGGTGGTGACAGTTTAGCAGTCTCTGTAAAGTTAAGGGTTCTTTTAAAGGGGAATTTCACTTCTTGTTTTTATCCAGAAAGTCTGCATCAGTCATGGAGATGTAAACAAGGTCATTAGGAGTGGTCTGAGTGAATTTCTTTACAATGGTGGTGATTGGAACCAGGGAATGTGACGTCCATTTTATTTCCTATCCAAAAACAACCAATGAACCTACACGTCTTCTGAGTTTTTATGTGATGATGGTAAAAAATTGATATATCCAAAACATGCATTATCCTTGTTGACAGTTTTGCCTTGCAACACCATGCATGTATTATAAATATATTTAAAAACACTTTAGATGTCTGGCTCATATCACTACAGTTGTGAGTAATTGTAACAAATTTAATTATGAAGAATTAAAAAAAAAAAAAACAGTGGAATTCCTCTTTAATATGGGTCTGTTTATTGCAATATAAAACAAGCCAGTAAATACTGATGCTTTATCAGTTGCATTTTTGCTGACACCAATAAACCACTGGACTTCAAAATCGGCTGATATTATCATTCAAACAATATGTTGTGTATATAGGTTTATCATAATACCACATCATACTTTCACTACTTATACCCAGTATAGTATCACAGTTAGAGGTGCAGCTAATGATTATTTCCATAATTCATTAAATAATTAATTGAGAAAAATTAAGGTTATTAGTTTGTCAATAATTACATTATATATGCAACATTGCAAACAATGTTTTATTTTATACAGTTAAAGTCTTATTTTCAAGTGTTGTATTTTTGCACAGTGCTCTTTCGTTAAAGAGCATTAAAAGTGTGGCCATAGATCTGCATTGCTCTTAAAAGTGCTGTTGTAATGAGTGTGAAAGGCAAAACCAATAAAGGAATAAATTAT